AAGATAAGAGATAAGAACAATAAGATAAGAACAAGCAAAATGAGCTAATCTAATCTAGATAAGGCTGCTGTTGCCGAACTGGGTAGGATGAGCATCACTGAATCCTTGCTGCTGCTGGCGGTGGGCCCGGGGCCTGTTGCTGCCGGCGGCGATGGTACGTCTTCCCGAGGATGGCGTCCATAACAGAAGGTGGATAAGAGATTGGCAGCTTGGAAAGGCAATTATTCCATTGAGGGCAGGCTAACTCTTATTAAATCCAGCTTAGCTAGACCTCCCTGTTTATTCCACAAATAGTTGTCAGGAAAGTTGAGAAGTTGATGAGAGATTTCCTTTGTGAACCTGGGGAGGGAAATTGGAAACAGCTTCTCTATATGTACAGGGGTAAGGTTGCATACATCTGTCCCTCCCTAGGCATTGCATGGTGGGAGCCTCATGCACTGGGCAACCTAGGGAGGGAAAGAAGGATCATTTGATGAGGTAGGAGATAGTGATGCAAGGGAAGAGGAGGGAGGTTTGGGAATATGCAAAATAAGCAAGAAGAATTTGTCTCTCCTCGGAAAATGGTTGTGGAGATTTCCAATGGAGAATGATAAAGTATGGCATGATGTTGTGGCTAGTAGACATGGGTTCTTGGAAAATGGATGGGATGTTGGGGTGCTATACAACAATGTCTCAAAATGCGGAAATGTTACGCAAGGTGTTCCACTACCTGGAGGCGTGAGGCATAGTTCAGAATGTAGGAGGCGTAAGCCTCCTTAAGAGGAGGGGGATGAGGGGGTCTGGGGTCTTTTCCTTCCTTTTTGCAAATTCACTGTGGAGACCCATCCTTGCGAATTCATTTTGTTCCTTGTTTTCTTCCAGACTCTCAATCATTTTCCCCATTTCTATAGCTTTCAACTCCTCAAATAATACATTTATTAATTGCTAGATTCTTTCTCCCTCCTCCCTGCCCTCAACTGTTTCTTTCCCTATCCTTAACCATTCCATATTGGTCATTTTCACAGGTAATTTTGGATAAATCTGGATTTGAGCTAGACAGAGAAAGTGGATTCAAGGTTTTCTGTGGATGGAAATTTGGTAACATTAAGTAGGAAACAAACAATAGTGGCTGGATTGTGTTGTGGGGCAAAGTAACCTGCCATGGCACATGGGGTGGCTGATGTTTTGTGAATAAGAAATTTGTTAACTAAATTGGATTTTCCCATGACTGGTTCAGTATCTCTTTGTTGCGACATTAAGGTAGCAATTAAAATAGCACATAACCTGGTTTAACATGACAAAACCAAACATATTGAGGTTGATAAATATTTCATCTGTGAGAAGGTGGAGAAGGATGAAAATAGTCTTCCATTTGTAATCTTGAAGGAGCAGTTAGCTGATTGTAATCACAAAGAGTGTCACCAGCTTGCCCTAGTGAACTTTGTTACAAGTTGGGTATGCATGATACTAACGACCCAACTTGAGGGAGACTGTTGTAATTACTTAGTTATTGGGTGTTGGGGTGGAAGTGTCTTTTTGTTCTTTTAAAAATGAATTGGCAGTTTTGGTACTGTCAGACATTGATTGTTTTCTTCCATTCTTCTGCTGTCTTTTTTCTTTTTGCTTCTTCTTTTCATGTCCTATGACAGATTGTAGAAAAAAAAAAAGAACTCACTGGTATCTGCATTAGCAATCAAATCTTGGCTATAGCATCTAAGTAGTTAGATCCAAGTTGAGTTTTTCAACTCTGGTTTCAAATTCTTTAGATGCTGTGTCAGCATGAACCTGGGTCACTTTATTGGGTGCATATAGTTTTGTATTAGTACCAATTTGGTGAGTATAGTGCTTTGGAAGTGGTAAAGTTTGTGCCCATGTAGTGAGATTATCAGATATGATTGGATTATTGGTAGATGCAATAGAAATTTAGTTTGGCCAAAGGGGTAAAGACTTGACTTTTATTTGTGGTTCAATATTTGTGCTGGTTGATGTTGAGACTTGGAGCTGACTAGGTTGAGTTGGTTTGTGCTCATTGCCTCAAATACTTGAACCATCCAACCTTTTCTTCCCCAACTTGGTTCTGGTTGTAAACTAAGTTTGGTGAGGGTCTATGGACTCTGAATGCTCTACTAGTTGATGTAGATTCCTTCATTGTAATGGAATTCATGCTCCATTGCTTAATTGGCAAGTATTTGATTTGTGACTAAGACTTCTCTATGTGATCTATCTTCACATTTGAAATTATAATAAGTACTTGTGTGAATGCATGATTGCCTCCTTTGCTGGAGCTTCTTTATTATTCCTGACAGAATAATGCACCTCATGGTGGAGGAACATATCTGTATAGCTGTCATTAATATTCTCCAGCATTTTATTGACTCTTTTTTCTACAAGTCAACTATCTGAAACTCTCCTATATCAGAGGAAGATTGGATAGTCTATGTCATTGTCATTTTCTTTCTTTTGACTTTTGAATTCCTTTACTGATGTTATATTAGAGTTTGTGCTTTGTCTCTGTAATGATTCTTAGCAGATTTCAGCTTTTTCTGCTGATGTCAATCTTCTTCTTTACCATGTAGGTGGAAGCAAAGGATCCTGCAAGTGGTTCTATATATTATTACAATGAGAATACTGGGCAAAGCCAATGGGAGAGCCCTATTGAGAGTGCTAATAGTGCCCAATCTCCATCAGTTTTACCTCTTCCACCATATTGGCAAGAGGCAATTGATGAAACAACAGGTATGTTGTAGATTAACCATATTGTTTCAGCCTTTTTTCATTGCAAGTGATATGATAGAAAAGACAGCAATAAAGAAGAGATGTACTACAGAATGATTACTTTTATCTCATAGTTGTAAATACTGCAAAATTTGAGGGATATTACCATGAGCATACTTTCATATAAGATGTTCATTTAGCTTGTGCCAAGTACCTTCTTTCTTCGGACATCTTGCATATCATTGGACACTTCTCATTTCTCAAACAGATTATGTGTTTGGTTAATGACTTGTTCCCTTTTTTTATCTATGGAGAAACCATACTTATAAAGGCATATAGGTAGGTGGCAAGTCTGGACAGGTTAGGTCAGGTTGAGCCATTGAGGTCAATCCTAACCCTAATCCAACCTGATGACCTCGGGTTGGGTTCAGGTTGGCCCAATTTCTCCATTTATTTTTGCTTTTAGAAAAAGTTATCACTTCTTAGACATAGGATTAGTTGCTTTTAGAAAAGGTTATCCCTTCCCTGCTTTCTTAATACAAATCAGTTACTCTCTCTCAAAAAAGTTTTAGCTTCTGTGTGTGTGCAAGGACAAAATAAGGGTGCTTTAGGAGTACCATACTTATATTACCTAAAAATTCTTGGCTTTTAAACTTGAAAAAGTACCATACTTATATTCCCTAAAACTTCTAAGCCTTGTCCCAACCATATGATGTTGGCTACATGAATCCTGTTCTGCCATTCTATTCTGTTCAACCATATTCATTGTTAAACTGTGAGTGCTTAAATTGTTTGTCACTACTTCAATTCATGTCATTTTTATTCTGCCACTAGGTCTTTGTAGAGATGATGGACTGAATGGGCCTTAGTTTCTTTCTTTTATTTAGTTATGTTTATGTTTTATGCAATGTTTTAAAACGCGGAGGCGTGACGTGAGGCGTAGTTCAGAACGCAAGAGGCGTAAGCCTCCCGAACACAAGGAGGAGTAAACCTCCTTAAGAGGAGGGGGGTTAGGATGAGGATGAAGAGGAAGGGGGGATCTCATTTTTTCTTTATTTTTTGTAATCGAATAAGACTACAATCAGTCCTAGTTTTAGTGTTCAATTAACAGGAAAAATTGAGAAAGAGGAAGAGGATAAGAGAAGAGAGAAGAAGAGGAGAAGAAGAATTCGAAGGGGGGATTTAGAAAAGGAGAGGATTTTGATCTGCCGCCCCTCTCTTACCATTTATATTAATTCTCAAATAAAGGTAAAAGGGCTTAAATACCCTTACTACTTACATGGCAAAAATCAAAGACTAATAATTATAAACTGACTGAAATAACTACCAACTAATTGCTGACTAGTACAGTACAGTGGGGACCACATCAGTTTTCTCTACACTCCCCCTCAAGTTGGGACTTGGTGAGGAGATTGGCAAGCTGCATGTTGGAGGTGATATATGGAAGACATACTTCTTGAGATGCAACCCTTTCTCTAATAAAATGTCGATCCACTTCAATATGCTTAGTTTTGTCATGTTGTACCGGATTATAGGCTATATTTATAGCAGCCTGATTATCACAGTACAACATTAAGGGTTTCTCATAAGCAATACCCAACTCTTAAAACAGTGATTTCAACCATAGTATTTTAGCCACACCATTTGCCATGGACCAATATCCAGTTTCAGTACTAGAACGAGAAACAACATTTTGTTTCTTACTCCTCTAGGAAACAAGATTACCTCCTACAAAAGTACAATATCTAGAGGTAGGCCTATCATCAACACACCCAGCCCAATCAACATCTTTATAAACTTCTATCTTCATGTGATTATTATCCTTAAATGGTACACCTCTGCCTAGATACCTCTTCAAATATGCCAATATCCTCTCAACAAGTAGATGAGTGGTTCTAGGAGAGTGCATATACTGACTAACAACACTGACTGCATAGCTGATGTCTGGTTGTGTGAGACAGATAGAGAAGTTTTCCAACTAACTGTTGGAACATAGCTTTATCTTCAAGAGGCTCTCCACCTTCTGCACTGATCCTGTGATTCTATTTAATAGGTGTGTCAGCAGGCTTAACACCCAACTTTCCTGTTTCCTCTAACAAATTAAGGACATACTTCCTTTGAGAAATAAAGATCCCATGATTGGACCGACCTACCTCAATACCCAAGAAATATTTGAAGGGAAGGGAGATCCATCATATGGATGGCTGAACCATGTAGGGTGGCTGGGCGAAATTTCAAAAATTTCTAAATTACTTGATTTAGAAGAACTACATTTTTCAAGGTTCATTCTTGAAACAAACTGGACCAAATCTGCAACCAAGATTAAGGGAGGGATATACCTGATATGGAATCCATGCAAGTAGCTCCCAACGTAGGTGTTCACGCCCAAAGAAGTCACCAAATCCCACCTCCACTGAAGAAGACCCAGCTTAGGATGAGACAGGATCAACAAAGCAATTCTTTTGCAAGAACTGCAATCCTTCAGCAAGGATCACGCAAGGGAGTGTGAGCACAATTTCAGATCTGATTTTTCTAGCAAAAATCAAAATCAAGATCGAATCTTGATCAGTCCAAGACTATGGAGATCGAACAGGGTAGGGCGGCAAGAACAAAGGAAAGAACTGGATTCTACAAAAGTGTTTAACAGAAGGAATTCGCCCTCTATTTATAATCTTTCTGGATCAACTTCTTAATCCTATTAGGAAAGGGTTCCTTGATCCAAATCTCTATTTGGATCTGAACTCTCAAGTGGATAAGACTTATCTTATCCTCTTGCTTATCCATATCCATATCTAAGCCCAAATTCGCCCATATTTAATTAATCAAATTAACCCAGTTCGAAATGGGCTTTAGGCCCATTAAGCTATCAGGCTCACTTCCCTTTTAATTTGCTGGGTAGCTTGGCTCTCTTTGTATGGTGTGGGACCTAACATTGATCTCCACAAAATCCATATGGGTTCAGCCTAGCCTCTGTTACAAGGCCTGGCCGAATTTACTGCTAAACACAGTGAACCCCTAAGCCCATTAGTATGGGCTCTTAGCTGGCCCAACATTTACACTAAATGGTTCTTGGGTCCAGCCACCTTATGAAGGCCCAAGGACTATAGACTTAAGTGAGATTAGCCAATCAAGTAAAAGCCCTAAGTGGTCTTACACTTAACCTTTGAATCCATAATGATCAAACACTGTCCGACAAGAGAGGACCTCTCCTTCGGCTGCAAGGTACAGTGTCGCACTCTCTACTCAGGATGGATCTCGGGAATTAAAACCTTTTGTAAACCTTTTTCATAAAACATAGTATATATATATATATATTGCAAAACAAATCTCAAACACGTTTGAAATCCACTACCGACAGTTTAGGTTTCCATCAGAGAGAGTGTTGTCCCCGATCATTCACTTTGTTCGACAAAGGGGCTGATTTTGTCACTATGATCACCCACTCAAATGAATTCTCAAACTGCCCCAACATACCCAGGTTTTGACCCTTGCTAAGGATCTCATTGATTGGCATATCAAAGACAGTCCAATCCAACAACTAGTGCAGTACCATAATCGAGTCTAGGGGTTAGGTGTAACTTTCAAGTTTTGCCCATCTGTCTCCAAGGTCCAGGGCATAACTGGAAAATGGTCCGGTTTAGAGTTTCAAATAAACCCACACTACATGTGCTTTGGGTCTCACCTTGGCAACTGAGACAAGCCACCCCAACCGACTTGGCAGCACATTAGTGTCAGTCTTGGCAGGATAAACCTCCCCAGGTCTATCCAACGGCTGTGAAGATTCTAAACTAACACGAGTCTCATAACTGTCCAGTTTAAGGGTATTACACAGAAACACACCAGATATAACATGAATCAATTATGTACTATTATTCATTTACAATAAATGTCAAAAGCACATCAATCTGATTGGAGCTAAGGGCATACACTATCTAACAACTCCCACTTGCACTTAGGTTCAATTGGGTACAAGTCGGAGTCCCATACTGTCCACGTGTTTCTCAAACATTTTCTGTGTCAGTGGCTTAGTCAATGGGTTTGCCACATTCTCCGCTGATGCTACCTTCTGAATCTAGACGTCCCCTCTACCAACAATCTCCTACAATACATGGTACTTCCTCTCGATGTGCTTTGACTTCGAGTGGGCTCGGGGCTCCATACCTTGAGCAATGGCTCCAGTGTTGTCACATAACAGTGGAATGGGTGATGTGCTGAATGAAACTGCTCCTAATTCTCGAATGAACTTCTTCATCCAAACGACTTCTTTGGCAGGTTCACTTGCGGCAATGTACTCGACCTCGGTTGTGGAATTTGCAGTGGACCCCTATTTGCTGCTTTTCCAGCTAACTGCACAGGACCCCATCGTGAAGATGTAACTAGATGTAGACTTTCTATCATCTGGGTCTGACTAGAAGTTGGCATCAGTATATTCTAGGATCTGTAGTGAACTACCATCGAATATCAGACAAAACTCTTTTGTCCTTCGAAGGTATTTAAGTATGTTTTTCACAGCTGTCAAATACTCGTCCTGGGTTTGATTGATATCTACTTACCACACTCACTACTTGAGCAATGTCTGGCCGAGTGCACAGCATGACATACATGATGCTCCCTACGGCTGAGGCATAGGGAATCTCTCTCATGCCCTCAATCTCCTCGAGAGTCTTGGGAGACATACCCTTGGAGAGAGTGACTCCATGCTTGAAAGGAACATTTCCTTTCTTGGAGTTCTCCATGCTGTATCTCTTGACAATTTTGTCAATGTAAATAGACTGGGATAATTCTGCTATCCTTTTCGATCTATCGCTATAGAGTCAAAGTCCCAAGATGTAGGAGGCTTCTCCAAGATCTTTCATGGAGAATTGTTGCGAAAGCCACACTTTCACCGTAGTTAACATTCCTACATCATTCCCAATGAGTAGGATGTCATCTACATACAGAACCAGGAACATAACCTTATCTCCCACTGTCTTCTTGTAAACATAGGGCTCATCCGGATTCTGCTCAAAGTCAAACTGTTT